TTTAAATTTTCAAACTTTTAAATTGTGAAATTTAAACTTTTATACTTTTAAAAGTTTGAAAGTTTGTATTTAAAACTTTAAAAGTATAAATTTTTAAGTGTAATGTTCCTAATTTTTTAATTTTAATAAAAAAATTATAATTTTAAAGGTTGGACCCGGTTTCCGGTCCGGTCCGGTCCGTTACCGGTCCGGGACGGGTACACGGATTTTTTTCCGGAATTACCGGTTCCGGTCCGTCCCGGTTCCGGCCCGTGGTGCCCGGTTCCGTTCCGGTTCCGGAACGTCCCGGTCCGGTAGTTCCGTTACCGGTTCCGTTGCCACCCTTACTCAACACTAACGCCAAAGAGCAAAACTTATATTCCCTCCTTTTCAAAAAGCAAATAAAGATTTTTTTTAATTTTATAATTCTAAATTAAAGTTATGTTGAATGTATCAAAATATTTTTAATTTTCAGAGCCATTTGCGATTCCCTAAAATTATCTGCATAATTCACTTAAGCACCTTAATCATGATTTGTACTTATTGAATACCTAAATTATTCAAAACATGTCTCTATTAAGTACAAAATACTGATGTGGCAAAATAAGTGCATCTCACCGCATAGAAACACCATGTCCCAATTTTTTTATACATATTTTCTTTATTAATAATAAACTTGTACCTTTTTTCCTTCTAATGACACTTGGCATTGTATTAATTAAAATAACTAAAACTAAACTTTTATTCAAAATAATGTCTTATAATACTCAAAATGAAAGCAAACCCACCCCACCCAGGTACGCTATACCAGCAATGGTCTTCTTCTTCGCCTCATTTTAATCATTTTAAACTTTATTTTGGTTCTTCATTTTATTTTTTGCTCTTTATAAAATAAAAAAAACGGAATCTTGTGAAGCTGATGGAATCTGGGAAGAATCCATAGCCAAAACTCAACTTGAGTTAAGAATTCATGAAGCAACACTGATTAAGCAAGAAGAAGAAGAAAAAATAAGCTTCATTAATTGTTCCTCAATCTGAAATGTACATTATATACAACATGCTTTCAATGTTTTGATCTAATCTAACATACTAAAATGCTAACTGTTTTTGAACTAACTGTAACAACTTTATTGTAACTAACTTTGCCTAGCTTTACAATCAAGTGTGTGATCCACACCATAATGTATGATGCACACTAATATATCTTCAGTGCACATCAATGCATTTGTTCAACTCTTTTACTACCCTCCTTTCAAGCTAGGAGCTATGAAGATGTTCTTCATTCCTAGCTTGGACACAAGATATGTATGAGGATCTCTTCCAAGTGCCTTAGTGAAAACATCTGCAGGCTGTTTAGATGAAGGCATATATGTTGTGACAATCAACCCTTCTTGGATCTTTTCTCTCACAAAATGGCAGTCAATGTCTATGTGTTTTGTCCTCTCATGGAAGGCTGGATTAGCTGCTATTTGAAGTGCAGAAGTGTTGTCTGAATATAATGGTACAGGAAGAGTGATCTTGACCCCAAGTTCTTCAAATAAACCAACAATCCAAACTATTTTAGCAGCTGTATATGCCATGGCTCTATATTCTGCTTCTGCCGAGCTTCTAGACACTGTCACCTATTTCTTAGACTTCCAAGATATAAGTGAACCTCCATATTGTATCAGGTACCATGTGACTGATCTTCTACTATTAATGCATGCACCCCAGTCTGCATCACAAAACACTTTTAGCTCAGTTCCCCCTACAAAAGACATCAGAATACCAAGACCTGGTGCTGACTTCAAATATCTCACTAATCTGAGTGTAGCTTTCATATGTGAAGCCTTTGGAGAATGCATAAATTGGCTCAGACATTGTACAGCAAATGATATATTTGATCTGGTGGTGGTGAGGTACAACAACCTCCCAATTAACCTTTGATAACTAGCAGGATCCTTCAACATTTCATCAGGATGTGTGGGTGGAATGTTGTCATCAAATTCCACTGTAGTAAGTTTTTGATTCAATTTCATTGGGGTTGAAACTGGTTTGCCACCTGCTAACCCCATGTCGGATATGAGCTCTAAGGCATACTTCCTCTGGTGTATTAAAATTCCAGCATCACTCCTAGCAAATTCCAACCCAAGGAAATATCTGAGTTCTCATAAATCCTTGATCTTAAAAGCATGTTGCAAAACCTCCTTAGTTTGTTGAATCATGAAAGAATCATTCCCTGTCAGTAATAGATCATCTACATATATGAGTACTATCATTATTTTGTCTTGCTCCCTCTTTGTAAACAAAGAGTAATCTTGTACTTTGATGGAACCCTGATTCAACCAAGGTATTCGTAAGCTTGATGTTCCACTATCTTGATGCTTGTTTTAGCCCATAAAGTGATTTTAACAATTTACATGCTTGACTGTTTCCAAATTCCCCACTGAAACCTTCAGGAAGTGTCATATACACCTCTTCATAGAGGTCTTCTTGTAGGAAAGCATTGTAAACATCCATTTGATGGATGTGCCAATGTCTAGCAGCTGCAATAGAAATAACAGACCGTACTATGGCCATTTTGACCACTGGTCAGAAGGTTTCTTGATAATCAAATCCCTCCTTCTGATTATATCCCTTAGCTACCAACCTTGCCTTGAACCTTTCCACACCACTATCGGCATTATACTTAACTTTGTAAACCCATCTACAACCAATGGCCTTCTTGTTCTTTGGCAAGTCGACTAGTTCCCAAGTCTTATTATCTTCTAAGACTTTTATTTCATTCTGCATTGCATCCACCCATCTAGCATCTTGAGCAGCTTCAGCATAGGTAGCAGGCTCAGTTTCAACTGAGAATTTGGACACAAAACTTTGATACTTCTCAGATAAGCCCGAGTAATCTAGGACTGAAGCTATGGAATAGAGACACCTGCTAGTCCCACTCTTAGTAAGATAGTCCTTATGCCAAATTGGAGGTTTGGAATTCCTAGCTGATCTTCTTATAGGAGGATCCACATGATCAAAAGGCAATGGTGAGGGAAGATTTTGTTGTGAGGGAGCATTGTCTGAGCAAGTATGTGGTACATTGGGTATGAGAGGTGGCACCACAGTGATCAGATCATCATAGTTGAACAAGTCTAAAATGGGAACTGGATTTGGTGTAGCAGCATGACAGGTTTTGAAAGGAAACACAGACTCTAAGAAAACCACATCTCTATTAACAAAGAAAGTCTTGCTATCCAAGTTGTACAACTTGTACCCCTTTTAAGTGGATCCATAGCCAACTAAAACAGACCTTAGAGCCCTATGACCAAACTTGTCTTGCTTAGTGTGATCAGTAGCAAAACACAAACAACCTATGACTCTTAGATGATCAAGAGAATGAGGTTTGTTGTATAGTTTCTCAAAAGGTGACACACCATTTAGGACAGCAGAAGGTAATCTATTCAGAACATAAACAGCAGCTTGAATACACAGACCCCAAAAGCTATCCGGGAAACCAGCCTGAAATTTGATAACCCTTGTTGTCTCTAATATGTGCCTATGTTTTCTTTCCACGACACCATTCTGCTGAGGTGTATAGGGACAAGAACTCTCATGGATAACACCATGCAACTTGAAAAGTTTATTACAATTGGAGTTAAAGAACTCAGATCCATTATCTGAGCTTACTTTCTGAATTTTTGTACCAAATTGAGTTTCAACTTCAATAAAAAAATGCTTTAACAAACTAGTAACATCTGATTTGAGTCTCATTAAAAAAGTCCATGTCCACCTTGAATAGTCATCAACAATAGTAAGAAAATATCTCATACCATCAAAAGTTTCAACTTTATATGGTCCCCAAACATCTAAGTAAAGCAATTGAAAACTACTTGTGGATCTACTAGTACTGTGAGGAAAAGGCAGCCTGGTCTGTCTAGCAAGAGGACAGACCTCACAGTTATGCAAAGCAAACTTACTACCAAATTTATGAAAATTAGGAATCTTCCTAAGTATACTCATAGGTACATGACATAGTCTTTGATGCCAAACAATGGCTTTACCCTCAACACCTTGTGTTGCTGTCAAGCATCTCTGAGGTATAGAAGTCTCATCTTCTACTTGTGTACTCAGTATGTATAGACCATCTCTTGCCACAGCAGTCACCCTCACTTTCCCAGATGAGAGATCCTGAAAAACACAGTAATGAGGAAAGAAAGTGACACAACAATTCAGATCTTTAGTCACTTGTGAAACTGACATAAGATTGAATTTGAATGCCGGGACACATAAAACTTTTCTAAAAAACCACCTCCTCCTACATGACAATCTCCAATGTGAGATACCTTTGCAGAATCACCTGTGGGCAACTGAACATGACCTGTCATATTGGCAACCCCATTCGTATCTCCAATTGTTGTTTGATCTAGCATTTGAAGAAACTTGTGATGTTGTTCTGGTGTTATCATAGGTATTGGCACCAAGCCAGACCCTGCAGCCTGGTGAGAGGAAGCCATGTGATGTTGTGGAGTTTGATAAGAAATAGGTGAGGCTTCATAGATTGAATTCCCAACAACAACTGCATCTCTCTTGCCTTTGAAATCAGGGGGATATCGAATAAGTCTGAAACAATCAAGCTTCACGTGACCAGTTTTGTGACAATAGTCACACTTCAACAGCTTGTGGCAATCACTTCTCATATGGCCCTTCATGTGACAGTAATCACAGAAAACATTAGGATTGTAGGGCTTCTTGCTCCTAGAATTAGCAACACCTGGTCTTGAAGTATATAAAGCAGTAGGAATCAAGTTTTCATTCAATGATCTACTTGAATTCGCTACTAGTTTTTGACTTTCATCTTGATTTATCATGGCATATACCTGATTGATGCTAGGAAGTTGATGCAGCAGTAGAATTTGACTACGAGCCTGACTATAACTATCATTGAGGCCCATAAGAAACTGCAACATCCTCTGGTATTGTAGGTGTTCAAAAAACTCTATAGATTTAGGACAATTACAGGCAGGTGGTGGCATAATGTTGTCATATTCATCCCAGAGGTCCTTAAGCCTTGAGTAATATACAGAAACAGAAGACACACCTTGAACGAGTGTGAAAATCTCTTTATGCAGCTGAAATACACGAGAGCTGTTGATTTTGTTGAACCTCTCCTTGAGATCTGCCCAAATCAACTGTGTATCTGAACAGAAAAGAACTCCAATGTGTAAATCCTTACTCACATTACACAAAATCCATGAAACAATAATAGCGTTGCAGCTATCCCACAATTGAGCTAAATTCCCTGAAAACTGATCACGCTTCACTGTTCCATCGATAAAGACGACTTTGTTCTTTCCAAGCAGAGCTAATTGCATAGCTTTACTCCACAAAGTATAGTTATCAGATCCAGTAAGCAGGATGCCCACATTGAGTGATCCTGGTGCATCAGACGGATGCAAATACAGAGGATGAAGATGATCAATGGTCGTGGATGCCATTGATGACCCTGAGAGATCTCCTGCTGGAACTCCAATGGAACCCATGAAATTTGAATAACGCAGAAAAAATAATTTGAATTCACGAATTGAAGTTGGAAATCAATCCAGATATTCACGCCATAACAGAAAACCTAGAACCTTGCTCTGAAACCATGTGAAGCTTATGGAATCTGGGAAGAATCCATAGCCATAACTCAACTTGAGTTAAGAATTCATGAAGCAACACTGATTAAGCAAGAAGAAGAAAAAATAAGCTTCATTAATTGTTCCTCAATCTGAAATGTACATTATATACAACATGCTTTCAATGTTTTGATCTAATCTAACAGACTAAAATGCTAACTGTTTTTGAACTAACTGTAACAACTTTATTGTAACTAACTTTGCCTAGCTTTACAATCAAGTGTGTGATCCACACCATAATGTATGATGCACACTAATATATCTTCAGTGCACATCAATGCATTTGTTCAACTCTTTTACAAATTTGCTAATCAAATTTGCAAAAATGAAAAAAAAATTGGACATCGGAGTTATAAAGGTAACCTTCGTCCATCTCTTTTTCCGGTCACTTCGATCAACAAACATCACCAGCCATTAAAGTTATAAAATAATATCAGAAAATGCGATATAATTCATATGAATCCTCATGATTTCTCTTCGTCATCGATTTCGAAATAATTATCAACGTCAATTTATTTTTCACAAAAATCTCAATAATCACTCCATCAATCTATCATGCTTCATAATTTATTTCATTATTTGCATTTGACTTAATTTCCATAGCTCATAATTTATTATAAGAAGAAAAGCAAAAGTTAATCTCTTCGGAGGAATAGAAAATGGTGGGCCACATAAATAAAAAAGTTATTCTTTTAAAAATAGATTAAAAAGAAAATTAGGTTCATTTTTTTTAAACGGGCGGAGTATTTATGTTACTCTACCATATATATATATATATACTCTTCATATATACCACATACTTATATGTCACTGTATTTTAATGTATCACACTTTTATTTAGTGAGATACATGTGATATACTGAAATACAATGATAAAATTTGTGCAACTTCAATTGTTCAGTTTCAATTTTGAATTTTTCTTTTATATAATAGTTCTCTGGTTTAATTTATTTGTATGACATTTTTATTTTGTATTAAACATGTCGCACAAAAAGTCAAAATTAAATTGTTGTTAAAAAAAAGGGAAAATAGATGGTTATTTGTGATTTAAAATAAATCATAGGATAAAATGAGCATTTTAGAGTTAAATTGTTAAGTCTCTCCGTCCAAATTTATGTGATATTGTATAACTATAGAAATTCTAAGAAAGTTTTTTTTTTTTTTTGAATTTTATGGTCTAAAATGAATCATAGTTGTTTGTGTGATTATATATCATCATAGTAAAGATAAAATAAGCATTCTAAAATTAAATTATATTACGTAAATATATCATTCTATTTTAGACTGATTAAAAATAAAAAATATATTATATAACTTGAGATATAAATATTTATTTTACATATCAATTAATTTGAATTTGCATAAAAAATATTATCTTAAAAATTAAAGTTCTCAATCAAAAATACTTTTACATCTACATTCACATTCGAAATCTTTTATTAGTATAGTATCAACCACCCAACGACTACGTCGGTGAATTAATTGGACCGACTTTACACTGCTGGAAATTTATTCTATTGGTTCACAATGTGGACTCCTCCATCTGAACACACTGTAATTTGTAAATATATAATTTTTCCTTTAAAAAGTGTTTTAAAAATAATAAATTTATGATCAGAATTTTGAAATTTTAACTTTCAAAATGTACTAGTATACAATTTGAGATACAGAAAGTATAAACCTCCGTATTAATATGATGAAAACATATCGCACAAGTCATAGGCGAACTCAGGATTTGAAGACTTCGGGTGCACTAATATTACCTTAGCTCAAATATGAGCTCTACGATAAACTTAAAATAAAAACAATGAAAATAGAGGTCTAGCTGGATTCGAACTCAGGTCTCGCAAGTGATACCTTTGGCTTGTACCAGTAGCACGCCACCACTCTTATACTCTTCATGGGTGCACTGTT